CTCTAACGCCTCGCGTTATATATTCAATTCGACGCGAGGTTTCATTGCGAAAACAGAGCCGTAATTGACATTTTTTTGTCTCCCCCTTTCAAGCAGAAACAACGCGAGGGTGTCTCGCTGATACGGCGAGAGGCGCGGCGCGTCGATAATTCCACGTCAATACGGCGAAAATGACGCGTAGCGTCCCGACTGGTTTTATCGCGAAAAAAAAAGAGAGAGAGAGAGAGAGAGAGAGAGAGAGAGAGAAGGCACGTCGAGTAATACCCAGTTTCAATGGTCGCAACCCCCGCGAGACGCAAACAGAATACGCGCTTTCTGTTTGTCGCGGATTCCATCCCTCCCGCCGACGTGTTTGCAGTCCCGGAATGCAAAGCGCGCGCGAGCGCCCCCGATTTCTCGCGCGCGTTATTTGCCCCGCCGTCGCGGATATGGGAAAAAAAATATCCGCGCGCTCGCGAACGGGCGAGCCTAAATTTGCGCCGACTCCGCGGTGGCCTCTAAGAATAGCCGCGTTTCCCGGTTCGCCGCCGAATACGCCCGCGCGCATCCATTCGGAGGCTGCGAGGTTACGAGATCGCGACGTTGTTGCGCAAAAGTGTCGGGCGATGTTTGTCTGAGGAGAGCGGGCGAGACGGAGCTTTACGAGGGCATCCCGCGGTTTTCCCGCGGCTCTGTTTACCCTAACGGCGTGCGCACGGGGAGCAAATAAAATTTTGCTCTCCGTCGTTGCTCGAGTTGAACGCGCGTGTGTGTTAAGGATTGTCTACAATAGATGAAGCGAGCCTGGCGTAAGAAGTAAGAGTAGGAGTAAAGAAATGAATTCTTTCCATTTCTTACTCATATTTCAGCCCTGACACTTATCCTCGACGAGTTAGAGCGCAGTTCGAGCAGTGCTACAAATATTTTTTTCTTAATTAAGCCTGTACTTTAACATGTACACTGAAAGGTTAGTGTTGGTCCACAACCTTGCTTTAAGTAAGCTGTAAGCCTTTATTTATTCCCCTCACTCTCACCGGTGATCGGTTAATTTCTTACGGCTTAAGGCTTACAGCTTACTTGAGGCAAGGTTGTAGACCAACACTTAGGAACCGCCTACGATACACGAAGTAAGCCTGACGTAAGTAGTAAGAGTGAGAAAAAGAATTACTTTTATTTCTCACTTCAGCTCTGATGCCGACGACCAATTGGAGCGCCGCCCGGCCAGTGCTACGAATATTATTGAAAAGATTACGACTGAGGCTCGATCGTGAATCTTTTCCCCCGGTGCACTCGTGAGGCGTGAAAAAAAAATTATTACACTCGACGAAGCCTTAACGCTTTTCACGAATTCACGCTAGAGGAAAAGATTCACGATCGCGCCCCAGTATCTTAGCTTTCCCATTGAAAAGTCAACGTTATCGTTTTCTTGCTTCTTACTTGCGGTAGACGATTTGAAGACCGCTCTACAACGCGTCGAGTTATCCTGGCGTAACGAGTGAAGTAAAAGTGAGGAAATAAATCAATTTTATTTTACTTCTTGCACTTACCCCGGTCGAATCAGAGCGAGGTCGGTCGGTGGTACAAACATTGGAAGAATTCTGCCTGTATTTTAGCTCGAATACCAAAAGGTAACGCGTCGTCCACGATGCGTGGAGGAAGCCTGGAGTAAGGAGTAGAAGTAAGGAAATAAACAAGGGGGCAACCACCAGCTAAAATGTTGTCCCACCGACTACATGATTTCATTTCGTTTCATCCGATTACAAATAATCTCATCTAATTGCAAATAATTTACTTATATGCACGTTTAAAAATACGTAACATTGTTAAGGGGATGCTGGAGTGATT